TCCAGCGGGATGGGGGTGCCCTCCCTGTATGAGGCATGCAGGGAGTACTTGAGGGAGGAGCTGTGCAAGACAGGCCCACAGGTGGCCTTGCACTTCACCTCAGACATCTGGAGAAGCTGGGGTGGTGATCATGCCTACCTCTGCCTCACAGGGCACTTGTGCCATCAGTCAGGCCATCGGTGGGCTCTCCTTCAAGGGGAGGTGATGGATGAGTCCCACATGGCAACGGAGATCATGGGGGCCACAAACTGCATGATGCAGAGGTGGCTCATTGGGCAGGGTAAGCTCACCCTCGGATTCATGTTTACCAACAACACAGCCAACATGGTCAAGGTGGTCCGTGACGCTAACAAGTTCAACCTTGTAGTCAGGGACACCTTGGAGGGGGACGGGGCTACTGGTGATGGCACCAGCATCACCAGCCAGCTCACTTCAAAATGCAGGAAGGTGGCATGCTACTTCCACTGGAGCATCAAGGGGAGCAAGATGCTACAGGACACGCAGTCAGAGCTGAGCATCTCACAGCACAAAATCATCCAGGATGTGGAAACTCAGTGGAACTCCACATACCTGATGCTTGAAAGCCTGGCAGAGCAGCAGAAGCCCATCCATGAGACGGTCTTGCTTGGGGAGATTGGGATCAGCAGCCCCTTTAATGGAGCTGAGTGGGATACCATCTCCCAGATCTTGGTGGTCCTCAAGTCATTCCTTGAGGCCACCGGGAGCCTCAACACTGACAGTGCTCTCCTTAGCCAGGTGATCCCCATAGTCAAGGAGCTTGAGAACAAAATGGAGAAGTTCCAGGGGATCAATGTTCCTGGCTGGGGCAAGCCGCTATCACCAGAAGTGCAGGCACTGATGAAGCGGCTAAAGGAGGGCATCAAAAAATGGCTGGATCCATTGCGATCCAGTACATTCAACATGTGACCCAAGGGTGAAGGGAAGTATTTGCCAGTCAGTGAAAAGCCAGTCAGTGAAAATGGAAATGGAAGCATTAGGGGGTGAGAGGCTGGGAGGGAGGGGGGAAAGAGGGAAGTAGCAGGTAAAAGTGGAGAGGTACCTCAGGAGTCAGGTACCTTCCCCCCTATCCCAGCCTGTCTCTCACCCCGATGCCTCCATTTCCATTTTCACTGACTGGCTTTCTTGCCTGCACTGCATACCAGCCTCTGGCTTCTTTACTATTCCTTCCATCCAGGAAGAGCACACACACACCAACTAGATGCCTCCAGAGCCTGATGAAGGGTTTTTAAACCCGTGCAAAGAAGAATTTCTCCAACTATTCCATTGGTCTAATAAAAGATATCAGATTGACCCTAAGAGCCTTGTCTGGGCTATGTCCTTAGACCAACATCGCTATGACCTACACCGTTTAACACACACGACACTAGTTTTGCTTTCAGCAGTTTCAGGTTCAGTTTCACAGAAACCACTGCTGATGAAGGGTTTTTAAACCCGTGCAAAGAAGAATTTCTCCAACTATTCCATTGGTCTAATAAAAGATATCAGATTGACCCTAAGAGCCTTGTCTGGGCTATGTCCTTAGACCAACATCGCTATGACCTACACCGTTTAACACACACGACACTAGTTTTGCTTTCAGCAGTTTCAGGTTCAGTTTCACAGAAACCACTGCTCCACTCTGCCTGAAACCTGGCAGGCCTCCCTCATGCCTGCATGAAGGGCTATGTATGTGTCAGGACAGGTGCTAATGAGGGTGGCCATTTAATGCCCCACTCTCAGAGCTGAAGGTGGCAGTTTAGCTTCTCACCAGCACAGCCAGCATTAGAATAACATCTCCCTGCTGAGCTCCTATGCCAGGAAGAACTTGGAGGTATCAGGGCTGAGGCTATATGGGGAGGAGGCGGCCCCACATCATTCTGGGCATGACCTAAAACTGCACCCTGCCAGGGTTGGGAGGCCTGGGTGGGACTGCCAGTGGCATGGCAGCCCCAGGAAATGCCAAGACCATGAACATACCTGATGAAAGGCAGGTAGAAGCAGGAGGCACCTGATAACCTCCAGCCACCGCACAGTCCTGGCTGGGGAAAGCCCAGACCTGTAAGATCTTTGAGAGGCCTAAGGCTAACTGGTTGCAGTGGAGTTGTGAGGGTGAGAACAGGAGCTACCATCCCTGCAGTTTTCACCCTGCTGCGCCTTAACACACACAGAGTCACACATGTCACAAGTTTTGCTTGTCAGCAGCCTGAGGTGCAGTATCCCAGAAACCCCTATACCTATCTCCTTGAAACCTGGCAGGCTCCATGGCCTCAGAAGGGGATAGCATCCCTGCATGTTTCATCTGAATCAGGCAAGAAATGACAGTTATAGGCAGTTTTGTGATTCCCCATTATAGCCTATGGCCGAAACACCGTCGAAATTCCAAAACAGCTCTGAAACAATTTCAGCTGAAACAGAATGGGACAGTGATTTGAACACTAAAATGAATCACTGTCCCTCCAAAACACCAAGTGCAAAACAAAACAAAACACAGCCATTTCGGACAGCCCTCCAAAACGCCGAAATGAAACACTGTCCCTCTGGAACGCCAAACAAGAAACCAAAACTAAACACAGCCATTTCGCACAGCCCTAATATACATACATACACACACACATACATGTGCACATGTGTGTATATATTGCATATGTATATGTGTATATATGTAGTATACACACATATAATACATACATATATACACACATACATATACACACACATATATACGTATATATACATACACGTGTATATATGTATATACATATGTATATATGTGTATGTGTGTACACACACACACACACACGCACACCCTTTCAGGTGTCCCAGGTAACTCTGCTTTTTATAAATTTGTTCACCAGCCCCATGTAATTGCCAGTCAATGAGCTATGCAGCATCATGTGTTATTAATAAATGTAGAACACAGACGCTTCTTTGGTTTTTCCAACTTAATTATAAATGTAGAAATATTCTTTCATACCTGTCTTGCACAGTAACTAGGAAAGCTTTGTTATTTTCACAGATTTGCTTGGCTTCAGAAAATGTTGCAGGTACTTGTCCAACTAAGTAACAGTAAAAACCATGTCTTTTCCAGCCCTGTCAACATAAACATCAGATGTGCATGCATGTTATTGTCAGATTGTGAAATTACACAGTATACATTAGCTGTATGCTACACTTCTAAACCTTGTATTAATGTTGTGCCACGTTACCAATGCAGTAACCAAGCAGTGATAGTGGCAGGGGTGAAATAGGACTGTCATTCCTTCGCCACGAGTATATTCCACAGAGAAGCTTCTGAGAGTGTCCTACAAGTTAAGTGTGGTTTGCAATTAAATTATACACTTAGAAACACTGCACAGCTCCCCTTAAAACTGTGGCTACATTAGAATTTTGATCTGCTTTCTAGTTAACTGGAAGTGAACTGTGCTATCATCTTTTCCTCCCATTGTTAACAATGGGACATTTCACCAAAAACTAGTTCAGTGCAAGACATTCATGGCCTTCAGAGATCTACATGACACAGAAAGACATCAGTGCTTGTTCATCTATACTCTGACTTGGTCATGGAAAACAACTGCTTTGTAATTAGAGGTGTGGGACACAAAGTCTTTGGTCAACCATAAACTGAATGTATTTTCTTTCCAGTTCAGTCCTGCATCTCATTGTCTTTGGAATACTTCATTTGGATAAGTGGCATGATTAGCATGAACTCAACATGGATAAATATGTTGTGTTCCTTATCAGTGATCTTCAAGAGATTATTCATGTATGACCAAAGCTGCATAGAATTGCTCAATTCACAGAAAACACTATACTGAGATGAGGAGGCACAAGGAACTGAGAAAGTAATTCAGGTCAAGCATTGCCTAAGAGCCATTTTTGATGTGAAAATTATCAAAAGGCAGAAAAACAACCTGCTAGTATGAAAGCTGAGCAGTTACTATTAATGAAATCCTAAAAGATAACATAATTTCATAGGATGTGAAACAAATAGAGCAAATAACCTCCATGGATCATGACACATTTTATTTTGCACTTACCTTCTGGCAGCCTTGGTCAATAATCTCAACCTCCCCAGGTTCTTCTGCCAGAGGTTTCCGTTTACAAATGTACCCAAATTTCTTTTCACAGTCATCATCTGCCCAGTACCCATCCTGAACATGGCAGGGGGAGAAAATAAATGTTAATGAAGAGGTATGCAAAATCTTTGGAACAGTTCTTATTCCCCTTTAAAATCATAGGAACGCAGTGCTGGAAGGTACCTCACAAAGTCACCTAGTCCAGCCCACTGCGCAAGGCAGGAACTTCCCTGACTACACCATCCCAGCCATGAGATTTTCCTTTAAAGTTTCAGAACAGATCAGAACCAGAATTAGATTGATCATTAATTCATCCCAAGGCTGGACTCACAGCTCACTTCAGGTTTTGTTTTAATCATTTCAAGTCCCCACCCTCCTCTCTGACATAACTATGTCTGCTTCTTCATCCTGGCCATTCAAGAGTTCCTCCCTTTATCTTTAAATATGCCACTGGAGGATTCTTCTGCTCTCTCTAAAGCCTTCTTAGAGCATTAAAACAGATAATATTTAGGAGGGGATTCCTACCCTCACAGTTCAGGGTATTACAATGGGCATTTATTTAGTCTGCCATGACTGCTGAGAAAAGTAAATCAGTATTCTTCTTGTCTGAGTAGTATCTAAGCATATTGCTGAAGTGCATTAGGAATGGCTAGCCTCTTCATTTAGAGTTCCCTTTTTCTTTGTCCATGTCCTTCAGGAAAAAACATGATCTTTTTTTAAAAAAAAATGTCTATGTAGCTATTTCATGCTTGCTATACCATGAATTTTTATTATTGAAGTCAATGAAATGTGCTTTGTCCTGGGAGCAACAGATAGTAAGTTTTGAAGTAGTTTTTAGTTCCTGCAGGCTGGCAGTAACTGAAAGGATATTTATTAGGCCTGTGCAAAGCGGCTAGTATTCACTTCAGATTCAACCGATTCAGGGCACAGTGATTCGATTTAGTGATTTGAATCACTGTCCCAAATTGATTTAGCCAAATCTGATTTGGAGATTCAGCTCCCACCGAATCAGCCGCATCTCTGAATCAAACAGGCCTCATCCCCCGCATGGTCTCCCAGCCCCATCAATGGCTGCCCCACACAACCCCAGCATCCCAGTACTTCCACACAAAAAAAAAAGCTTCACACTCACTGGCTCCTTCCAGGCAGGGGGGTGATCCCCTCTACCCCACACTGTATGGGGGGCTTTTCCACAAGCCCCCAGAGGCCCCAATGGCTGCTGCAGCAGCTGGTGAGTGCAGGGTTTTTTTTTCCTTTAAAGCACCAGGACACTGTGGCCAGTCGGGGCAGCCATTGATGGGGCTGAGAGAGTGGGTGGGGGTTGGGGAGTGCTCAGTGGGGCTGAGGGATCAGTCAGGAGATGGGGCCTGGTGGGGGTTCTCCCATGGTTCCCTCCCCCTTCCTCTAGCCCCCATCCCCTACTTACTGGCACAGAGTCCAGGTCCAGCTCCCTGTGTGGCAAGCAGGGACTGTCTGAATCACCTCTGAATCTTTTCTGAATCGATTCATAGGCTTTGATCAATTTGGACCTTTTTGTTGCTCTCCCAATTCAATTTGGATTTGGAGAACTGGAGATTTGGTCGCTGAATCAGGCTGAATCCCCTCCAAATCGAATCAGCAACCAACACTTCACACAGCCCTAATATTTGTGGTGTACAGTGCTAGCTATTGGACTGCATGACAGTTTTTGACAACAGAAATCCCCCAATTATAGAAACTTTCTAACTCCTGCAAGGACAGGTAGTACATAAATCTCAACCATGGTGCAGCAGCACACTTGATCCATAACATAAGTCCAGATATTACAAATAGGAATCCCGAGTGTCAAAAACATTCTGACCTGTTGTGGTCTGTTGAGTTCTTTACAACAGAATCACTTTACTATTTTTTCATGATCAAAAAACAAGTGAAAGCTAAGATCTGGAATTTTCTGAGAGGTGAACTGAATCTAACACAGTTGAGAATTTCTGCTCTGGCAGAAGGCTGAAGGGAAAGATTTTCCTAACTTGTTTTCCTGAGTTCATAGGGTGTACTATGCCTCAAATTTGTAAATATTTAAATCAGCCAGGAAAAGGTTGGATTTAATCATTACAAAACTTCAGTGGGCCATGCTAAATTTGGGAAAATATCTTCATTTTGTGTCTTTAAACATATTTCTATTATATTTCTATAATAAGCAATATTATATTTCTATAATAGAAATATAGGGGAAAACAGAGTTAGAATGTAAAAAATATAACAGTGATACAGTTGGTCCGTTCTTTGTATATGTAGATATAAACAGAACCAAATGCAAAGCAGGCCCTTTTGTGAATATGTAATGCCAAATATATGAGAGCCTAAAGCTATTTTTATCTTTCATAAAATCATCACAAGCACGCTAGTGGTTTTTCTAGTCCCTGCACTAGGAATCTTACCCCCAAAATGAAAATCATCCATTTTGCCTTTGGATACTCAATGTTCGTCACTTAGCTAAGGAAGAACCAATCAATTTAACTATTCCAGAGTAGATAAAGCCTCATGGCAGAGGACAACCTCCCATGTTTTATCTTAAATGTACCCATGCATCACCTTCCCCCAAACATTCTACAAAAAACTTTTAGGATCAGGGCCAAAATGTTGCATTTATTAGACACCTAAACATATAATAGTCATGGGATATAGCTATATGGCAGAAGGTAGTGCCATGCTGAGATACTCCTTGCCCATTTCACACATAGCAGTTCTGTGAGAACAAGCAGGAAGCGCATTACTTTCAGAGAGAAGGAGCTTATTGCCACACACGTAGTACTGTACAAGCTGCACTCCTTTCCATGCTGAAGTGCATGGAGCAGGTGTTGTATGTCCCAGAGCTGTTGTCTGTCATTACTTCATCAATTATTGGCCTCAGACTAGTTCCCTTGCTCTTGGGCAGTGACTCAGACAAAAAAAAAACAGGGAGAAAGAAAAGAGTCCAGCACTAGATATTCTTGTATTAGTTTACCTCTCCCTTCATAACAACACAGTCTTCTTGCTTATGGTTTATATGACTTGGTTCATTCTGCAACCACTTGGCATATGTCACAGGAGTCCCATCACACCATTCAAAATACATTTGAATCTTGAGGTCATTCAAACCAATCCACAGCACATCAGTAGACTCTAGGAACATAAATGTAGTATTACAATTTTTCCACATTAACAACATTCTTAACTGTCACGTTCATTTTTGACTGACTAAGGAAAATGAATGTATCATTTTTGGCTTCAAGGCTTTGCTATGTTACTATAATTGCTAGAACTGCAAAATGGATAACTGTTACAGTAGAAATGTAGAAACAAGAAAAACACTTACCATACCCTAGCTGAGACACTGCAAAGCTGTGTTCTTCAATATCATGGATACTTGCTAGATCTCCTTCCTCCTTTCTACAGAAGGATACAGCATCTTTCCATAGCTTGGGTTCTCTGTAAATCATATAACAATGACCTGCATAAGACACCCATCCCTTTGGGCACTTAATTGGCCTAAAATCATCTGGAAAAAGAAAAGATGTGCAAACAAGTGTTAAAAAGGCCACAGTGAGCAAGACTTGTAATATAAAAGAACATTAGATCTCTTGATAGATCATTAAAAATAATAAATACATGAACATCCCCCAAAAAAGCAGAATACTTGGGGCCTTTCCATCAGCAAAGTATTATCAGTCTTTGTGAACTCTCTGAAGGCTTATTCTTACATGGAAAAGTTAGTGCACCATAAGCAGCACTAACTGTTATTATTACTGTTAGGTGCCCTGCACTGCCTACTTTATGGACACTTCAGTACACAGGTGATGAGGTAAGCTGCTGCTTGCTAATGACCATGTAGTGTCCCATGGAGATTTAGGGCAGAGTACTAGATGCACAGTAAATTCACATTCGAGCTTAATCCCAATAGTTTACTTATATATGTAAGCCCTGAGCCTATTTTGGTTCTTGTCAGACTACTGCCTTGGAGTTCTGCTAGTGATCTTTTCTTTTTAAAAATCATATTCCTGCTCTTTCCCTGTACAGCCATTGCAAAGGGGTATGAATGAAGGATACCAACCAAAAGGTAGGTACATTCCTCTAGTACATTCTGCACACAATATTATTTAGCATCTAATTATGTCACCAGGGCAGAATCCCAGGCCTTTTTAGGGCCTTGAACCTCATGGGGCTCTCTCAAAGTAGCCTTTATTGGGACAACATTTAAATGCCTTCCTGATGATAGGTGACAAAACAGGATTCTTCCATGAATGTTTAAAACAGACTAGCACATGCAACAGTTTGGTCTTAGCAATGAACAAAGCAGGAAGTGATCTACATTAGTTTCAAATATTTGTAAATATGCAATTTTCCACTATCTTTTGCACAGGGCTACTCAGTATGCTGGTTAAATAAATAGGCTCTATTTTTTCAAACCAACTTACTTTTGGGAATAATGAAGGAATCTAAAGATGAGTTTCCCTTTTTGCAGATGTATCCACATTTGTGACCACATGCCTGGTTTGCCCATTTACCATTCTTAGACTGTAGCGTCACACAGATTTTTTCTGACTCAGGAGAGGGACTTCCTTGGAGAAAAATACAAAAATAGACAGTCTGTGTTATTATGGTAAATCTTCATACTGCCCACTGAAGGACTAATCTATTTCTGGGTCTTGACCATATGAATTCAATGTCATATTATTTTTTACTAATTATCATTTTAAGAACAGAGTAGTTAACAATTACTTAGCCAACTGACACCAAGGAGTCTGACTACTACAAACTATTCACATGCACTTCCCTGGCAAGCCCTTTCTGTGCCCATTTCACATATGAGTCAAGTCTTCTACAGCCCCATCTAGTTTGGTTTGGCCTTTTAGTTCAAATTGTAGCTACTTGTAATTTTTCCAGTAGATGTCCTTGGTCTAGTCCCTGGTGAGTCAGTTAATACCTAGTAGGGAACTAGTACAGCATCTTACCACTAGATGGCCAGGAGTAGATAACAGACTGTTTGCCTTTGGTAAACTGCTATCCCAGGATAAGCTGTAGTTACACAACTACTACTGTAACTTACACTCATGGAAGGATCTAGGAATTCTGAAACGGGGGGTGCAGGTGGTATGGTGCATCATCATATACAACACAATGCACATTTTTTTCCAGGTAAAAAGAAACTAGAAGCTTTAGTAATCCGCTAGGGGCCTAGGGCTACATTATTCAGTTTAAGATCTAAGCAAAAAGAAATATAATTTTACTGGCATATGCATGAATTTGGTATATATTATGTTTAAAAAACCACAACCAACTAGTAAAAAATAATAAAAAGATGTTGTTTCTTTAGTCCTGTAGTCATTAAAATTAAATGGAACTCCAGCTAGCTACAAATATCAAGGAAAATAAAAAGTCCTTTTTTAGGTATGTGGGGAGCCGGAGGAAAAGCAAGGGCAAATTGGACCCCTGCTAAACCAGATGGGGCAACTAACAAGTGATGCCCAGGAAAAAGCAAACTTGATAAATGGATACTTTGTGTCAGTTTTTCACCAGTTCCATGGGATGCCCCTGCCCACTGTGGGACAGGGAGGTCCAGGTGAGGGAGATCCCTTGCCCTCCATCGAAGCTGACCTCATGAAGGAACACCTTGACAGGCTGGATACCTTCAAGTCAGCTGGCCCTGATGGGTTACACCCAAGGGTACTTAGGGAGCTGGCGAGCATCATAGCTTAGCCCCTGGCACGGATCTTTGAGAGCTCTTGGTGCTCTGGTGTTACGTCTCAGCTGTGTGTTCTTGGGCAACCCTGGCACAGGATGCAGTCTGTCTGACTCACAAAGGACTCACCCCCCCTCCCTCCCCTCCTCTACCTAAATGAAACTGATTAAGCTGCAGTGAGAGACGCACCTAAGACCCTCACCAGATAAGGGTGATAAGAGTGAAACAACTGCCCTAGGTCTCATTTACATCCAAGATGGAACCAGATGACCATTCATTTACATGAGAGATGGAGAACAGAAAGCCTGAAGCAGA